GAATTTCCTGTCTTCTTTTAAAACACTTCCAAGATATTCAAATCTTTGTACTTACCTGAATTTCGCATCTCATATTTGCAATTCGCATGTTGGGCTCTTCATTTTGTTGACAATCATAGGGTTAACAAATCCATCCTGTAAAAAACTACCTGTTATGGCTATCCACAGCAGCAACGTTTAGATTTGTGGGTCCTATATTTCACAGGGGAGCCCACAGTGTTAACAAGTCCATCATGTAAGAAAAAAAAAATACTTGTTGCGAAACCACAACAGCAACTTCTTTCTTTTGGCCCTGTATACGCTATACCCCACATTTTCCTGTTTCTTAATACTTTGCTTAGCTTTTGGAAGGCATCTTTCGCTATCCCAATGCGCGTTCGGAGTTTGGTGTCGCATCCCCCCCCCCATGTTAAAACACTTCCAAGTTATTCAAATCTTTGTACTTAGCTGAATTTCGCATCTCATATTTGCAATTCGCATGTTGGGCTCTTCATTTTGCTGACAACCATACATTATGTCTTCTTACAATTGATATTTAAACCTTAGTCCTTTCTTCTCGCCTTCTGTAGCAGTTCCTGTAGTTTCCTGTCTGCTATCAACACTGTGTCATCTGCATATCTTATGCTGTTAAGATTGTGGCCGCCAGTAATAAAGCCTCCCTATGACTTACGGGCCATTTATTCAGATTTTTTTTAAGCATTACGCCCCGAGCAAGGCGTGAAGCCACTAGGATGCAGGGGGTTGTGGAAGATTTGGAGCGAGAGCGGATAGGAGTGATAGAAGAAAGGATGAGGAGAAGGATAGTGGGTAGATCAAGGTAACTGGAGGTGTCGATTGACATTACATTTGAATAGTTGGAGATTATAGCTTTCAGGGAAACAGTAATTGGGAAGGGTGTTCCACTGGCGAGAGGTGCGAGGTATGAAGCTATTGCAGTAGAAGAGACGGCTACATTTAAAAAATTTCTATAGTGTAAGGGTGGGAGCGCGATACCAGCCTCGTAGGGCGCTTGAATTCATGGAGTCTGGGAACCAGTGAAAGCAGCTCATCGGAGCAATTACCATGGAAGTATTTGTAGAAAAGACAGAGAGAGGCGACGTCGCGTCTGTGAGAGAGTGACTGCAGACGAGACGCCAGATCAGGGCCAATTAGATTACATATCCGTCTCTGGATCTTGTCAAGAACGCTGAGGTAAACGGAAGGTGCACCAGACCATATATGGCAGCAATACACTATGCAAGGGCGAATGGTTGTTTTGTATATTTGGAGTATCGATTCAGGGGAGAAAAAATTTCTGGCGCGGCACAGAGAGCCAACTTTCCTCGCGGTGGAAGAAGCAATTGACTCAATGTATTTGTTCCATCTCAGGTCAGCAGTCAGCGTGAGACCGAGCAGACGCAGATACCTTCATTTGCACAGTAGAAGGCCTAACTTCTGGTTGCCTATTAATTTGGGTCAAAATGATTAAAGTGCGTATATTTTTGTGATTGATACCCATTGTTCTGTGTGTAGAGTTCAGAGGTAAAACATAAATGTCAATTCCTGAAAAAAAATGCCTTCGATAAATCTGATATGCGATTGTTGCTACGATTAATAAAATAGGTAGTTTTTAGTTTAGACTAGATTATTCTATACACATGGGTATGAAATTATTTTTAACTATTATTCACCCAACAAAAGGCACAAGAGCTACTCTAAATAAAGGATTATTAAATGAGGATGTGGCATACGTAGGAATCCCCGAAGTTAAGCATCGTTGATGCAGGTCAGCACTGAGATGAGTGACCTCATAGGAATATCAGCTGGTATAATGTTGAATCTGCCGGTGCTGTAATGGATAACGATTATAAATTGCAAGTCGGAAAGCTGAGTTCCAATTTCAGTTGGGTTCATTATATTCACTTACGGGCAAAGACCCTTTGGAAAAATATGAATTCCTCTCTTCTCTCCTCCTACCCAAAACTATAAGTCAATTTGTAGAACTTGTACTAGTAAGAATCATTATTAATTCCCAAAACATCTGAAAACCTAATAATACCAGGGAGCAATAAATTATCGCATACGTAAGCGCGATCAACGGACACAAGATGTTCGGGATCGACCCGAGCTGTCAACCCGCCGAAATGGTTCTAAAACGGGCGCGTCAGCAGAGAGTGGAAGAAAGTGTGCTCGTTCGGCTCTTCCAACACCCGATAACACCAGTAACAATCAGGCATGTCTGCCAAACCTGCCTTCAAACTTACGTAGTTGAGTAGTTGTACAATCCGGGGAAATCGACAGGTAAGCGAGTGTTACTGAAATAATTCGACGCCGGCCTCTAGGAGTAAGACCTGACTATATTCTTTGAGGAAAGCCTTCTGGCGTCTCGGCTTACGACAGCACTCAACTCCGGGCTGGAAAGTGAGAGTAAGGCTAAAGAAGGCAACCCTAATACTCATTGCCTGCAAAGAAACACCTGTCAACATGACGCGACTGCTGAACCTCTCTGCAAATCACTAGC